TTATGCTAGTAGATGAAAAGAGAGCATGCATGCATGAATCTGCCGTCCAAGCCCCATCCGTTGTCTTTACAAAAAATATTGTGGTCAATGCGTTTTGACATGAAATTACGTGGAAAGCAGATGTGCAAATGGCCGATCGATCTCAATTGGTTGCTGTGGAAACTCACGGTTGAGATGACGAGATCAAACTTTATCAAAAGTGGGAGAACCATGTTAGTTTCCTAGTACTATATGTATGTGCATGCATGCATGTGTGTAGTGTGGCTAGCATATACTCCTCCGTTTTTTAATAGATGACGCCGTTGACTTTTTCTTACATGTTTGACCATTTGTCTTATTCAAAAATTTTAAGACGAATGGTCAAACATGTGAGAAAAAGTCAACGGCGTCATCTATTAAAAAATGGAGGTAGTATTAATCAAGATACCAAATCACATACTTATGCATATATATGCAACGGATGACAGAAGCAAAGTGTCCTAGGGTTAGGGCAAGTTGCCTTTTGAACAAAGTTTTGCTTACGTACGGCTGCAAGATAGCATTAATTTTGCACTCATCGATCCATGACGAGTTGTTAACTACACTAAATGAAAATGACTTTGGTACACAGCTAGTACGTTTGTAGTCTAAGTACGTACTGATGGCAGTGGTACCAAAAATGGGAACCCCTGGTTTTGATGGTGCTCTGCGGAAATCCATTAGCTGATCCTCGCACCAATCTCTCTCTGCAATGAAATTCTTTTGTTGGTTGATCCCCTGCACACCTCACTTTGCACAACTATTCTCCATTCTGCTACCACATGACCAGATCGAACAATTCATCACGAAACAGGCATGTATTTAGTTGTGCCGTGATGAGGAAAAAATGACACAATTAGGCAGAGTTGGATTCAACACTTTCCCAACTTCTACTCCCTCATTTTTCACGCGCACACTTCCCGAATTGTTAAAAGTTGCTTTACAAAAATCATATTAATTTTTTTAACTAATACTTAATTATTCCTGTATGCTAATAAATCGCTCTATTTTACATATTAGGCTGTGTTAGTTCGGTTTGAGTGGTTGGAAACAAATCTCCTACGCACGGAAAACGGAGCGGTCTATTAGCGCGTGATTAAATAAGTATTAGCAAATTTTTTTTCAAGAATGAATCATTATAATTTTTTAAGCAACTTTCGTATAGAAGAGTTGGGAAGAGGTAACAACGAACACAACCTTAGTTCCCAACCACACCTTAATCGTACACAGCCTTAAAATGGAACAGGACGAGAGAGACGAAGAAACAATAATAATATCCCAGAGTAAATTAGGGAAGCAACATCGGGATAAAAGGGATAAGAATTCACAAGAAACACGCAAGTTGAGGAAATGGATATGTATGTTGTCCTTTCCTCTCTACGGATCACTCTCCCTTCTCCACCCAAACCAAATTAAAGTTATGTCAACTTTGACGGCATACATGTAGGCAACAGCACATGCGAGCATCACCCATCTGTACTATACAAAAGAAGGCAATTCAATTCAATTAATAAGCACCATGATGATAGGTATATACATCTTCTATCACTAGGCAAATGATCAACTCCATATTATTCCGTCGTCACTCACCGTCATTGTCTCTATTATTACCTATCAACCGATCTAGATTGTTAAAATTACATCATTTTGGGAAGGAAAACAAAAGCATTGTACGTAGTATAACTAAACATAACTATAGGGCACTTATGTAGGTCCTTTTGTAGCACGTGTAGGACGACACTAATTAAGCATGCATATATATATGGTCAAACAATACCACCGTGCAAAGTTACAGAAAAAAGAACATGAAAAGAAGTTTAACCTATCTCTATCTCTCTAAATATATGTACTCTCTCCGTTTGATATTATAAATCATTGTGAATTTTCATTTAAACTTCTTGGATATTTGACCAAGTTTTTATAAAATATAGTACTACCTCTGTTACAGATTATAAGTCATTTTAACTTTGGTCAAAGTCAAACTACTTAAAATGTGACCAAGTTTGTAGATAAATATAGTAAAATTTATAACACCAAATTAGTTTCATTGATATATTTTTATAGTATATTTATATTATGTTGAATATGTTACTATTTTTTTTAACAAATATATGGTCCAACTTAGAACCGTTTGTCTTTGACCAAAGTCAAAACGACGTATAATCTAAACTGATGGAGTGCACTAAATTAGTTTCATTACATCTAACATTGAACATATTTAGTAGTTTCTTTATTTTGTATTAAAAATATTGTTTTAATTTTCTATAAATTTGGTCAAACATAAAGAAATTTGACTTAGAAAAAAAAGTCAAAACAATTTATAATATGAAATAGATGTAGTACTGTGACTCATAAGAAATTCCCACGAGAAAAAAATGAATAAATTAAATATAGCAAGGATTGTTGAATTGTAACGGTTCATTAAAAGATCGAAAAGTTCTGGTATATATATAACTTGGTAACTGTCAAACTTTATTCTTCGAAAAAATGAATAAATTTTCTGGCCACCAATTATGGTAAGAACAAAGATTAATGAACCACATAAAAATTGAGTGAATAGTATCATATACTCGGCAATTATTAATTTATACAGTTTATAAATTAATAAAATACAAAAATGAGACTCAATTTAGCCTTATGTATTAGTTCAAAATTTCAGAATTACTTACTAGATGAAACACATCACATTGTTGCAGGAAAGTTGTATGGCAACAAATAAAATGGGGGGCGTAGTGGATTTGCTTTGTAGCTTAGGGCCTGTTTAGATTCCCTGGCAAAATTTTCCACCCTGTCACATCGAATGTTTGGGCACATGCATAGAGTATTAAATATAAACGAATTTTTAAGCCTAATTGCTACATGATTTGACAATGTGGTGGTACAGTGAACATTTGCTAATGATGGATTAATTAGGCTTAATAAATTCATCTCGCAGTTTACAAGCGGAATCTGTAATTGATTTTGTTATTAGTCTACGTTTAATACTTCAAATATGTGTCTGTATATCTGATGTGACACGCTAAAACTTTTCACCCCTGATCTAAACACAGCCTTACAATATCCATACAAATATTAAGATAATATAGGTTTGTAGGAGAAGAGAAACCACACATAGATCAATCACCCAAAGTCTAAAAAAACAATTAGGTGTGATATGGTAAAAAGGGATAAATCCATTTTACTCTCCTCAATTCTTCACTTTGCCTAAATTTTAAAACACAACCCCAAATTTCAAAACCGGCGGCAGCTGCGTGGGGAAGGGGAAGTGCTTGTGTGAATCCGGGCAGGCGGCGGAATTGTTAGCTTGGAAACTAAACTAATGGCCGTAAATTAGGTCTGTGCAGGAGATTATCTTTCCTTTGGGCCACTAGGCCCATGGGCCAAGAATGTACGCACTACATCTGCCTACGCCTCCATCAGGTATACGGGCTGCGGCCCATGAACAAGAACTGTAAGTAAACCTGGTAACACTTTAACAGTAGCTATTATCTTTTTTTTTCCCTGAAGCTTCTCATTCATTTATGTCCATTTAATCGCTAATCGAGGCATGGGGCATTTGGGTCACAGCAAAAAAAAAAAAAAGCAAAACGGTGGAAAAATTTGGAAATAAAAAAGAAAATGGTCGAAATGACATTTGTAGCAAGATGTTTTGTTTAAAAGTGGCATTCTAACCAAGCCACATTCCAGAGATGCCAAAATGTCAATTTTCTTGTGTTTGAGGGAAGCATAAAGGAAACGAAAAACTCATCTTTTTCGTGTTCACATTTCCCCAACTATTAAGCGGTGTGTGTTTTTTTAAAAAAAATTATTTAAAAAGATATTTTAGAAAAATCATATTAATCATTTTTGAGTTTAAAATAACTAATCATCAATTAATCCTATGCTAACGTCTTACGTATCTTATCTCTCGTTTCTTCTCTGGTCAAACACACATCTAATCATACACTGTACTACCTCTATCAGAAAATACTCGTCATTTTAGCTAGTTTAGCCTATAGTATTAAGGCCGTGTTTAGTTTTAAACTTTTTTTTTTCAAACTTTCAACTTTTACATCACATCAAAACTTTTCTACACACGTAAACTTCCAACTTTTTCATCACATCATTCCAATTTCAACCAAACTTCCAATTTTAGCGTGAACTAAAACACACCCTAAGGTTTTAAATAAAAAGACTATAATACCTACTAAATATGGTTGAGGGTGGATTGATACTTTGAGGTATAAAATAGTTTGAAGTGATAAGTTTTTATGATAAATTTTGAATTCTAAAATGATACTTCACCTAGGCCTAGGTTGTTTTTTCGTGTGCCAAAATTTAAGTATACGGAAACACATTTGAAATATTAAACATAGACTAATAACAAAACAAATTATAGATTCCGCCTGTAGACTACGAGACGAATCTATTAAGCCTAATTAATCCATCATTAACAAATGTTTACTGTAGCACTACATTGTCAAATCATGGCGTAATTAGGCTCAAAAGATTCGTCTCGCGATTTACATGCAAACTGTGCAATTGGTTTTTTCATCCACATTTAATGCTCCATGCATGTGTCCAAACATTTGATGTGACGGGAGAAGTTGGAAGTTTGAAGAAAAAATTTTGAATCCGTGTTTAGGGTGTGTTTAGTTCACGCCAAAATTGAAAGTTTGATTGAAATTAGAACGATGTGACGAAAAAGTTGGAAATTTGTGTGTGTACGAAAGTTTTGATGTGATGGAAAAGTTGGAAATTGGAAGAAAAAGTTTGAAACTAAACCAGGCCTTAGTTCCACACTAAAATTGTAAGTTTGAAGAAATTGTAACGATGTGACGGAAAAGTTAAAAGTTTAAAGAAAAAAAAGTTGAAATCTATAACAAGGCCTAACTACATCATGGACGAGGGAGTATGTTTGGCTGTTGAACCATTAATTACAAACCACCGCTCCAAGGCGCCAAACCCATTGAAGTTGTAGCAAAATGCAAGCCCAGCTGGCGCCTTGGCAGCATGAGCTTCCAACCTACCCGACCGTTGCGTTGCCCTCCCAAAACCAAACCAAATCAAATCACATTCACACCATTCCACTTCCCCCCTTTCTCCCTCCCGACCGTTGCAAATTCCTCCCTCCACTAAAACCCAAATCCCCCACTTCCCCCACCACCGCGCCTCTCCGCCATGGTGTCGAGGACGCCCACGAAGCAGCCGCTGTCCCCGCTGCCGAGGGCGGCCAGCGGCAGCCCCACCAAGCCGACGCCCTCGCCCTCGCCCTCGCCGGCCTCCGCCAGGCGCCGCCGCGTGCTCCGCCGCGGGAGCCCCGGGAGGATCAAGTCGCTCGCCGCAACGTTCGACACCTCCCTCCGCGGCTGCCGCCGCCGCCTCCTCAAGCTCTTCGCCCGCCTCGCCGTCCTCGGCTCCCCCACCAAGCGCCGCGCCGCCGCCGCCGGCTTCCGCCGCCTCCGCTCCCCGCCGCGGTCGCCGTCTCCTCCAACGCCCAAGCCGAATCAGGTAGCGGCCGTCTCGCCGCAGCTCCCGCTCCCGCTCCCGCCGGTGTCGCCGGGGAGGAGGACGCTGTTCCTGGACCTCGACGAGACGCTCATCCACTCCCAGACCGACCCGGCGGCGCGGGCGCGGCACGACTTCGCCGTGCGCCCCGTCATCGCGGGCCAGGCGGTCACCTTCTACGTCGTCAAGCGCCCCGGGGTCGACGCGTTCCTCGCCGCGGCGGCGGCCGCGTTCGAGCTCGTCGTCTTCACCGCGGGCCTCCCCGAGTACGCCTCCCTCGTCCTCGACCGCCTCGACCCGCGCGGCGCGCTCTTCGCCCACCGCCTCTACCGCGGCGCCTGCCGCGACGCCGGAGACGGGAGGCTCGTCAAGGACCTCGCCGCCACGGGCAGGGACCTCCGCCGCGCCGTCATCGTCGACGACAACCCCAACGCCTACTCGCTCCAGCCCGACAACGCCGTGCCCGTGGCGCCGTTCATCGACGACGCCGACGACCACGAGCTGGAGAGGGTGATGGGGATCCTGTCCATCGCCGCCGAGTTCGACGACGTCCGCGACGCCATCAAGCGCTACAAGGAAATCGTCGAGGCGAGCTGAAGAAGAAGAAGAAGGTGTGGCTACTAGCCTACTACTAAATATTAGCTTCTTAAATCAGTTTCATGGCAGAAATTTTCCCCCTTTCTTGTAAGATCCTTGAATTGGTTAGGGATTTGGGATTCATATAGTGGTGGCTACCTGAACCTTTCAGGATCTTCCTGAAAGGCAGATTGTGGGAATGGATTATGTGGTTCAGAAGCTTCAGCACAAACTGAAACTGGAATTGGGAAATTCTAGAATGCTGAGAATGTTATGAAATTGGAGAACAAATTTTGTTTTCTACTCATGTGCATCTGATTTCAGTAAATTCTAAGATTGTGGAAATATATTATGAAGTAGTTCAAAAGCTTCAGCACAAACTGAAAATGGAGTTGGGGATTCTAGAATGCTGAGAATGTTCTGAAATTGGAGAAATTCGAGAACAAATTTTGTTTGCTACACATGTGCATCTGATTTCAGTAAATTCCATTGGGCAATGAGCAGATAAAGTTCATGTGTTTACTAAATTTTGGCAATGTAAACTATCCCTTTATGTCTGAAACTTCGCAGGTGTATAGCATCGGTTACAGGCTTCTGCGTTTCGATTAACTTGTATAGTAGACGGATTTTTTTTTAGCAATTTCATTTCAAAAATTTCCCCTTTGTTGTAAAATTCTTGAATTGGTTAGGACTTGGGGTATTCACATGGTGGTCAACCTTTCAGGATCTTCCTGAAAGGCAGATTGTGAAATACTCCTACATTATGCATATCATCAGCTTCAGTGCAAACTAACTGGAACTGGGTGTTCCGAGATTAGTTAAATTGAAGATCAAATTTTGTTTAGTGGACATGAGACTCTGCTTTGAGTAACTTCAAGTGCGTATTGTATTGAGCAGTTCCCATTCATGTTCTATAGAGAGTTTTGGAAATGAAACCCATCCCTTTTATCTCTGAAACTTCCCAACATTATAGTATAGTGTTGAACAATTTACAGGCTCCTCTATATTGGAATACTTTAGATGAAAAGACAAGAACAAGGGACGTGAACTAGATGACGCAGCTACTTGAAATTAGTTTTGTTGTTGTGCGTTGCAAACAAAAAAAAGAAGGCATACTAGTACTTGTTTTCTTGTGTTCAAACTGCAGAGACAACGTATTGCGTACTCCTGAATCACCATTATGGCATTATCCCTGAAACTCTGAAAGGAACCAAAAATCCTAATGAGCTAAGCAGAAACGGTTTTTCTTCTGTGAGATTTAACACAAATGACTTAGCATTATGAAATAAACATGTAGAATGTCAAACAACTTTTTAGCTGAATTACTTCTATATAAATAACAAATTCTTTTGGAACTGATTGCTATGAAAGAGACTAGCTCCCATTAAAAATTTCTGAAAGTGACTAGTGCGAACGTTGCAGCCTAAACTATATCATACTATATTACTGACATTCCGTGCACTCCAAACTCTTCTTTATTAGTGATTGTTTCAATGAATACAATCAGCAAAATTACAACCTTTTTTTCTCATGAAAAGATAGAAACTTGATTGAGAGTACTCTTTTCTTAGATTGATGCCTATATTAGAAATTAGCCAAGAACTTCAATTCCAACACCACACCAAAATACTACAGTAAAATTGATGCTGTTTTTTTGTATATTGATGCCTATATTAGATAGTTGCCAAGAACTCCGATTTTTAATACCACAGTAAAATTGACAGATTACGAAGGGGAAAAAAAGCAGTGAACGTTTTCTTTTCATGAAGCTAAGAGCAAAGCTTGTACCGTGACTGTACTGGTGAGGCATACACGGAACTAGTCTACTTTATGGGCAATCTGCCAATGCATTGGTCAGAAAATCTTTTTGTCAAAACGGGTCAGCCTGACAGCGAGACGCGCCTGCTGATTAACGTGACACAAATAATGGTTTGAAGTAAACTTTATTTTATTGTTTATCTTCATATGGAGATCTTTCTTGCTTGCTATGCATACTAACCAAGTGTTCAGACTTCAGATACTGATGTGTATTAACTATTAAGGCAAATCTTGACTGGTAACTGACATTTGGGCACCACCAACCATTTTATTTTTCTGGGAGTCCCACTTGTCAGTGACACATATCCGCGGTTTGATGCTGAATTTCTGAGGAACCTGGAGGACAGATTGCAAATTTGCAAGTAGAGTAGTCTTTGAACACCTTATATCCGTGCACAAAACGGTGGTCAATCCAGGAAACCGAGCAAAGAGTTGGACACATGCATGTTCACACCGAGCTGGAGGCCATAAATAGTAGAGACCAAGCTGCATCTTCTTGTTATCTTCAGTTATTCAGAAGTTCAGAGCAGTAGAGGAAGAACAGGATAAGATCATAGCTAGAGATTTCAGAGAGAGAATCTAGAGAGAGAGAGAAGAGATGGCTGGAGGAGAGCATGGAGTTAATGGCCAGCATGAAGAAACCAGAGCTATGGAGGAAGGCAGCAGAGATCATCAAGCAAGGTGTGAGAATTCAGAGCAAGATGGAGGAAGCAAGAGCTCTAGTAATAACCACCCCATGTTCTCTGTCCAATTCGCGCAGAAGGTATGTGCACATCTCAGACCAAGATGGTTTCATTTTGATCAAATTCATCTTGAGTTTCCCTCTCATAGATATATGTAGTATTTCCCTTTGATCCTGGAATGTATAGCCAAGCTCAAACAAGTTCTCCAATCCCTATGACCCTACAATAATTCTGCAGAGAACAATAAAGAATTCAGTAGCATAACAACACTATAACAGACAAAGGAAAGATCAAGATCAGAATTTCCCATGTGGCTTGTTTTTAGAGGCGCATGTGGTAGTAGCATCCAAAATTTTCAGTAATAATATACTGTTGCGGCTACGGCAAAATCCCAAAAAAGAATTATCTGTTCTTGTTTGCGAGTCATTGTCGCCTTCATGGAGCCAAGTCTTCAACATGATTGCGTCTTGGTCATCGGCAGCAATAGTAGCTTTCACAGAAATTAGGATTGGGTTGGCTACTATGACAAGCAATTGTTGTCAATCTTGGGATCAAACGATGAACACGACATTGCTGCTAATGATAGATGATGATGATGAATTGCTGTTTGTAAAATCAAAGTGTGTTTGATTCTTATTCTGCGATGAACAATTGTCATCTGAGATTATTGTGGTTTTGATAAACACAAATGGGGGGGCAGGTGATCGCGGAGATCTTGGGGACGTTCTTCCTCATCTTCGCGGGGTGCGCGGCGGTGGCGGTGAACAAGAGGACGGGAGGCACGGTGACGTTCCCGGGGATCTGCATCACGTGGGGGCTCGCCGTGATGGTGATGGTGTACTCCGTCGGCCACATCTCCGGCGCGCACCTCAACCCGGCGGTCACCCTCGCGTTCGCCACCTGCGGCAGGTTCCCGTGGCGGCGGGTGCCGGCGTACGCGGCGGCGCAGGTGGCCGGCTCGGCGGCGGCGAGCGCGGCGCTGCGGGCGCTGTTCGGCGGCGCGCCGGAGCACTTCTTCGGGACGGCGCCGGCCGGGTCCGACGTGCAGTCGCTGGCGATGGAGTTCATCATCACCTTCTACCTCATGTTCGTCGTCTCCGGCGTCGCCACCGACAACCGAGCTGTGAGTTTGATCCTTCTCCAAACCATTCTTGTTCTTGTACGTTTTCCAAACTGTGTTCAATGTTACCTCTTCCGAACTGTTCCCTCGTACTAGTAGTTTTCTGCGTGTAAGTTTTTTTTTAATCGCTAAATGATGCGTTTGTTGCACAAATATTTATATTTGAAAGTTGTTTTCAAAGATCGTATTAATCCTTTTTCAAAATTTAAGATAATATTTATTTAATCATTCATTAATTCACCGCTCCGTTTTACGTACAAGGAGATAAAAGGTTCCCAACCGCTACTATCGAACACACATTGAGTTGTGTCGGTAAGTAGTGATGACGGAGTGGATTGAACGAATAATGCTCATACCATATTAATTTTTATATATTTTTTTAATTTAGATATGAAAACAAATACAAAGTATCTCGAATACATGTATGAACAATTATGGGTGTTATTAAACGCTATAAATAGAAGTCATCATAGTGATGTGATCTGCTGACTAGCCTAGGCGGCTGCCTGTGGTCGACGGGCCTTGGATCGACCATTACCTATGCCCTTGTGCCCTGTGTGTTGGGGAGATGGGGGTATCAGATCATAGCAATGGCGAGATTTTGATGAGGCAGAACGGAAAGATGAGGACAGTGAATTTATAATGGTTTATAATCTTGTTGCCATACGATTATAGCTCATAGGAATTGATAAATCATTTCTAATAATAAAATGAGAGGTTAGTACTATCTCCATCTAAAAAAAGTTTATTTTTAACATATCCCACGTACATCAATACAAAGTTAAAAAAAGACTAAAATGTCCTTCACTTTTTCAAACTCCATTACACTTACAATACATCATTGTTTCAAATATGAAGTCTTCGTTGAACGGAGGGAGTATTCAATTAGTAATGGTACATTGGTACATAGAAAATGGTCATTTAAAGTTGTAAACAAAAATAATAAAGTGTAAAAAATTGTCTTAATGCCTTGCAGTTATTATATGTTGAAAATAGCACTCGTTTATAGAGAACCATGACTTGCTCGGTTGGCAATGGTTTGGTGACTTTCACTATGTAGACGCATGTTTCATATTTCAGACTTGATTATATTTCCCTCAGATTAAATGAAAGGTTAAAAAATATGTCGCACCTCTCCCATCTTAATTTCATCAGATAGCCGGTAATTCTTCCTAGCCATCTCAGCAAAAAGAAAAAAAAACATGAGAGAGTAGTAATTTTCAATCAGCAAAGGTGTAATTGGAGAAAGTAGTAATATTTCATCAGCTGTGTGTGTGTAAAACGAGAAAAATATGAAAGAAGTGTCTCAAAAATCATATAGCGACTTTATGTTTACAAAAAATGCAGAAAAAGGGAGAAAAAGGGAGGAGTATAAGACGAGAAAAATGCGAGTATGGTGCGCGTACAAGTACAAAATCACTGTACCATATATGTTTACAAAATGGTATTCATACTTTATTAAGACGATCGCCATCGTTATCCTGATGCGCCCTGATCCTATTTTTCTACCAAAATAGTTGCTAGTCGCTCTCAAGATTTGAAGCTAGTGACTTGTTGGGAGTTGCAACTACAAGCCACTCTTCTGACATTAATTTCAACATTAGTCATACAAGCAGTTGACCCAATATATAATGCATGGAATGAGTTTTCTTTTTCATTTCTTTCAAAGTAATTTTATAGACTGAATACTCATGGCTCCTCCTATTTGCAGATTGGTGAACTAGCTGGCCTTGCCGTTGGAGCTACCGTCTTAGTAAATGTGCTCTTTGCTGGGTACACGTCTTGAACCATTGATATTACTCCTTCCGTTCCTAATTAGATGTCATTCTAACCTAATTAGATGTCATTCTAACTTTTCGCTTGCAACGTTTGACCATTCATCTTATTTAAAAAATTAGTGCAAATATAAAAATGATAAGTCATACTTAAAGTACTTTTGATAATAAAGCAAGTCACAAACAAAATAAATAATAATTCCATAATCTCTTTAATAAGATGAATGATCAAACGTTACAAACAAAAACTCAAAACGACAAGTATTTTGGGACGGATATTGTACCTCTTTTTTTTTGAGAAATTCGGTTTTACTAATTTGTGTTTGTTAAAAATGCATGTTACAATTATTATTTTCATAATACGTCTGCTAATAACTTTTAAATATAATAAAACTGAAATGTGAATGAAGTTGAATAGGCTAGCCCTATCCACTGTAGAAAGAAGTTTGTTGATCCTCACTGTAGAAAGAAGTTGATGTCTATATTTATGCAGATTCAAGTACCAATGTGAAAACATTACTTGTATGACTGAGTTTTCAACTTACAAAGACACATATCTATAATATAGATAAAGGGGTCCTGGAACACCAATAGGCATAAATACCTTATGGACTAACTAGAAGCATGTTTTCCAAAAGAACAATTGTAGCACATTTAATAGGACATGTACAGCCGACTAACAAAGTCGCCATCTCTAATATAATCCTCATTATATATGAACAGTATATATTAAAGATAGCAGCAATAGTATCTATAAACAGTATTAACGAGAATGTGTACACAAGTTTCGGGTGTGCTCTCGCCGTATACACTAACACTAACAAGGTGTTATATAAAATTCTAAAAATAATTAGACATGCATTTCTACTATTACTGTACTTATATATAAAATTCTAGTTTCAGATTCATCGTTAATATATAGCAAAGAAAACAGGAAACTGTGATAAATCTATACTCTTAAACCAGCAAAATTTTCATTTTCTATGACCAAAATATATTGAATTTTCAGTTAAAAGTCTATAAGTAGGTGTAGTAATACTATAAGTACTTATATAAATTTATTTTTTTAAAAAATATTTTGGAGACATTTATTACCGCCTCCGTTTTCAAAAGAAGGAAACTTCTGTGAAATAATTCTCGATAAACTATGCCAATGCTGCAAAGAAACACATTTTTTTCTCTCCTCTACTTGCACAGCAGTAAATGACCTCTACTTGCACAGCAGAAAAAGTCATTTAATGACATTAGTTACTCCGTATTATCATGGTACATGCTCTATTCTCTCTGTATGGTTTAGCTAGTCATATATGGATTTCTTCAATTTAGTCAATGACAATAATATTCAATTGGACATAATCTGCAGGCCAATATCAGGAGCGTCCATGAACCCGGCCAGGACCATCGGACCGGCGATCATCCTCGGCCGGTATACCGGTATCTGGGTGTACATCGCCGGCCCGGTTTTTGGCGCAGTTGCTGGCGCGTGGGCCTACAATCTTATCCGGTTCACCGACAAACCGCTAAGAGAGATCACCATGACTGCATCCTTCATTAGAAGCACAAGGAGGAACTAGGTCCCAGAATTGATCAGTTTTATTGTGGTAAAATGTTTCCTTTTTTTTTCTGTAGCTAGTGATGTTGATGGAATGAATGGGCAGTAAAAGTAATTGACACTGTGATTGCATAGATTTTACATGCTTTGGTTGGCTTGTTGTAGCTTAAATGGTGAAGGATTGGGTTACTTGTTGTAATTATCATTCTGAAGAAAAACATTGACACCAAATGGCTGTGCTAGAATTTTGATAAGATTTATTTTTATTTGAGCATTATCGATCACAATCAAAAGACCTCCAATACAGCATGGACCAGCAAAGCGATAGGTGCAAAAATCCAGTCAAATGATGCGGCGTCCAACAAGCGGGTACTGAACAAAATATGCATTTCTTAATCATTTGGCCTACGGCTTATTAATCTACCTAAAATTAATTTATAAGTAAAACTTTTTATACTTGTGCCATTGGCGATTTAAATGCCAATCTAGTGATTTGATGCAATTAAAAAAAATCAAATTCAACTTCAAAATTTAAACTAAAAAAGGGCGAAAAAAGAAAAGAAGAACCAAATCTGTCCGATCAAAAAAGAGCGAAAAAAAAGAAAAAGAAAAACGAATCCGATTCCGCGGTAAAAAAAGGGCGAAAAGAAATAAAAAAGAAATCTGTCTGATTCCTAAAAAACGGGCGCAAAAAAAACCAGGTGAAAAAAACGACCAGCCAATAAAACGAATCCGCGTGGACGCGGTAAAAAAAAGAGCAAAAAATAAAATAAAAAAAACAAATCTGTCGGATTAAAAAAAAGAATTATGTGTGATGCGGTAAAAAAATCGGATCCTATTATATTTGACACGGTGCTATATATCTATATCTTCTCTATCTCTACTACTTAAAAAAATTTAAAAAGTTTCCGTTGTCCGTAATAACCAAAAAAGGGCGAAAAAACAATAAAACAAAAAAAAGAAAGTTTGATTCAATTTACTTCCGTCGTCCGTGAAAATCTTATATTATCTTAATATCTCTCTCTCTCTCTCTCTCTCTATATATATATATATATATATATATATATACTACTTAAAAAATAAAAGAAATTTCCGTCGTCCGTTGGGAAAAAAAAGCGATAAAAACAAAAGATCAGAAAAAAAAGTCCGACTCCTCCGGTGGAAAACAGAGAGAAAAAACAAAAAACGAAGAGAAAAAAAAACTTCCATCGCAAAAAAAAAAATGTCCGACTCTAAAAAAAATCCAACTCCTCGGTGGAGAAAAATAAAGGCGAGAAAAAACAAAAAAAGAGAAAAAAAAACTTCTACTATAAAAAAGAAAAAAAAAACGTCCTACATCCCTGCCCGCGTGATGAAACGCCAGCCAAAGCAAAAAAAACAAAATTGAGCAAAGGGATAAACTAGATTGAAGTTCCCAAAATTAAAAGATGATAAACGATATTGAAACTCCCCTAACTCGAAAAGAGGGAATAAAATATATTGTAATTTCCCGACAAAATGCTCTAAATTTGAAGAACCCTAATTTCGGGTAAGAACCATAAGAGTCAAATCCAAATCAATTAAGCTAAGGGTTCGGGTTACTTACCGGACTTGAAGCCCCTGAGCTCACCCCAGAGCTTTCCGGGAAGCGGCACCGCCGCACCTTCACCTCCTCGCAGTCGTGTCGGGTTCCCTGCGCGCGTGCTGTCCTGGAGCACCCCTCCACCGTCCTTTGCCGAAGACGGGAAGCGTCGGCTTGGCGTCGTCCCTACCGCCGACGAGGTCTAGGTCACTCAGCGCTCGTCCCCATTTGCACGCCCACCTAGTCGGACCGCCGACGTCGTGGCATGGCTTTGCACCGCCCTCGGATGCACCCCCTAGCCGGCGAAGCAGGAGCCGCTCAGCGGTCGTCGCTGCACGCGCGCACCAGCTTGCCGGACCATCGTCGTTCCGCTCGCTCGTCGCCGGAGAGAAATGGGATCAAGAGAGAGGGATTTGGGAGCTAGGGTTTTGCCCCTCTCCCCGGTTGGCACTTCATTCGGCGCAGGGACGATTGGAGCCGTCCATTAGATTGGACGGCTCAGATTCGCCTAGCGTCGGGCCGTCGTCGCCATTGATTACGCTACGCCAATGGGCCGCGGAAGTGCATCGGACCGCCCCCGCATATGTCGGCTGCACTCAGCTGCTTAGCTTGCGGACCGTCGAATTGACTCAACTCGCCGAAGATGGGCCAGCCCAAGTTTGGGCCGGCTTGGGAAGACCTAGGCCGAAAGCAAATTTGATCAAACAATGTAGCTCATATTTTTCAAATTAAAGTCCATTAGATAAATTCTTAAGTAGGCCCGAAAAATAAATCTAAAACTAAATCCTAAATCCTATGCTAATTGATCAAATTAGACTCGGTTCTACCTATTTGTTAATATATCAAATTAGACTTGATTTTTACAGATTTAAGGTTTTTCAAGGTGTCACACTATCAAACGGTGTTTTTCCCGTTGCAACGCGCAGGCGCTATTGCTAGTTTAAACTAAAAGTGAAAATCAACAAACTTGTATCAATAAACGTTAAAAAATATATTCCAAGGGGACCTGATACTTCTGCTTCCGCAGGCCACAGGGTGGGGGCCCAAAAATGGTATGGGCCAGAGCTAAGCTAAGAACTAAGAAGCTGCTACTCAAAAATTTGTACAGCTCGGCCCAGTGAAGCAAAGTGTCATGTGATCACTACTTTAGCTTAGCTATGCAAGACCAAAATAGTTGTAGGATGGCACTGGCATCTAGTGATGTGATGCAACTTTCTAGTTTGCTAGTAACACGAATGATTTTCAGTTCTCCACAAAAAAATTGTAACAGAGTGCCATGGCAGTATATAGAAAAATTGCATTCCTGCTTACACCACCAGATCTGTTGTACAAACATCGTATGCTAGCAAGCTTTTTAGGCTTCAGCCTCGTCACAAAAAAAAAATATGGCGAAAGAAGGCGGATATGGATATATGTTGTTACTGGAACATCCTGAGGAAGTTGTTCGCGTAGGCCATCGGCTTGACGTCAGGGTGTGGCTGCAAGATGAAATCAGTCAAGACCTTGGTTGTAACGAAATCACATATTATGCTGTTTACAAGACAAACACAAAACTACAGTAGACACTACATACAAAAACATAACTAGTACTCGTGTCAAAATTATCTGTCGTTTCCGACAGCAGAAAATAACTACGAGCAGGTCATTTCTATGGTTTGAAACGACGAGTATTTCAGATCAGAGGGAGTATTCAGACCAGAGGGGGAATCGAGTAACAAGTGTAACATGCACTCGACCAGCTTCCTACAAAAACATACTACTGCCACATACAGTCTTCTATTTCTTGGGATACTAATCTTGTTGCAAGAAATAGAGTAATAGTGTAATGTACTCACCACCGCTGAGAAAGAGGAAATATTTGGTTTTAGTTCTGGAGCTGTGAACCGAATGTATGCACCCTTGTTACCCATCTGTATCAAAATCGCAATTCACAAGATGTAAAAGGCATGATTAGATATTTAAGAAGAATATCGGGAGCATAAAATTGACCAGGAAACAACTTCCATATCCTTATGGTGCAATTATTAGTTTGTGCAACCAACTATAGTTCTATTGTCGCAAACCTGGTCGCAATAATTGGGAGCAGAGAACACCGTTATAAGCTTTCCATCATGTTCAATTTCATAGCCTTCATCTTTCACTTCATGGGATCGAACAACAAGGTCTGGAACATCATCAGGCAAATCAAATAAGTGAAATAATTTTCCAAGGGAACAAAACAAGCTCTTGACACTATTACAAATAACAGATGTTTGAAAGATCCAATTCCAACCGGAAACTTTTTAACAAATTTTACTTCATACCCAGATTATTTTCTTGTAGAAATTTCTTAGTCACATCTGCACCAAACGAAAGACCAACACCGCGTTTGCTTGGACCTCTACCAAGTTGAGGCTGAGGATCACTCCATAATACTTCACACATTAGACCTGTCAGCAGAAACAGGAGTCATGTTGGCAGATAACTAACATGGGAAAAAAGGCATCAAGGTAAATAATATGCCAACACTTATAATGCAAATTAATGGTTAATAACTTAATATATGTCACTTTGGACCATAACTTTGAATTGAGGTTCAATCAAGTGATACTGGGCCATTAATGTATTCCATCTCACAAGAAAAATAAAGATGATAGATCAGCAAAAATAGCCAAGTTCATGTGCTAGTAAGTTGACCAAGTTATAGAATCAGTACCATGTTGTTCAACAAAATAATCGAACAAAACTCAAATTACAAGATGGATCAGACATAATAGCTAAATCAAATGGGAGCGAACTTCAATGATAAATTGGAAAAGACAAGGTGGATCATACCTAGAATCTGCTGAAAATCAAGCACATACAAAATAGAAAAGAAATAAATAGCTACCTTCTTCAGGAGGCTCACGGAATCGATCGATGGCTCTAATATCTGAAAGCTTAACACCATCAACACTAAAGAGACCTCCATGAACAACAAAGACCTTGTTGTTGATGACATGAGCAAGGGGTAGGCAACAGAATGCTTCCGCAAATAGTTCAATAAATGCTTCTCCCAACTTCGACCTCACTTCTCCCTCAAAACCATATATCTTATTCATGCTCTTGCTCTCATGGTTTCCTCTTGCAAGGTACATACCTGGATCATTCAAGGTATGTATAAAGGAAACCTTATTACATGAACAACTAAAATCGATACATCTATTATAAGTTAGAATAATGTAATAAAAGAGCTAGTAAAGTAACAGATTGCATACTAATATCTAGTTCATGAAAAGTATCAAAACTAGCAGTTACCTGTCGGATAGAGGCACTTGAAAGCAAAAAGAGTGAGTATGACTTCAACAGAAAAAGATCCTCTGTCTACAAAGTCTCCATTGAAGAGGTAAGGATTCTCTTCCGAGGGAAGCCCATTGAGCTTAAATATATTGAGCAAGTCAAAATACTGCAGTGGAAAAAAATATTACAATTCCAATCAGGCTGTCAGTATATCAATATGTAATAAACTAAATCAAATGACAGCTAAAATTTTAGCATGTGAAATTACCAATATCATTTTCCATTTCAAAAAAGAAGGGGACACCCAGAAGCACTAGGAAAAAAACAAAAGCAATGCATTCAAAAAATTTAAATACCTGACCATGCACATCACCACAAACCGTAAAATGACTTCCATCAGGAACGTTCACATCAACAAGCGAAGGTACAGAACGCAATAGCTGCACGGTTTGTAACACAATCTGGTAGGCGTACCTGCATTATCAACCTAAGTAGTAAACAACCTGGGGAACCAATATAACCAAAGAAAACACTTCAGGTATGTCCCTTGTACAAAGTGTACCTTTTGTGTATGCATTTCTGTTTCTCAAACTCATCCAACATAGCCTTGACAAAATCTAATGTTATTGTGTCTCCATCAACTCTTGGTCCTGTATATTGTGGCTCTACTTCTGGAACATACAAAAAAAAATATTAACCACAATGTCAACTAAGCAAGGGATATTTAAGAAAATAACAAAAGCCATCCACCCAGAAAGAGATGTTCACAGGTAACATACGAAAGAGCCATAGTACACTACTCTGTAGGCATTGGTACTGCAAATTTAAATGAAACAATAGCATAGAAGTAACATGAGACAATTAGGTCCTTATATTATAGAATGCATCCGCTTGGAAGTAGCAGATTCATAAAAGTGCTAAACAGAAAACTCATCAAGAACAACTTTTCTGTAGGCATCGGTACTGCAAATTTAAATGAAATAATAGCATAGAAGTAACATGAGACAATTAGGTCCTTATATTATAGAATGCATACGCTTGGAAGTAGCAGATTCATAAAAGTGCTAAACGGAAAACTCATCAAGAACAACTTTTCAGTTATCCTGGGAATCCAGGGAAGTACGAATTTCATGAGACTAGCAAACACTCCCTCTGATTTTTTTTTCCTCAAATGGCATTGGTTACTCGAAAAATGAACTAATAAAACAAACTCGTCAAGTTTGACTAAATAACACTAATATATCCAGGCCATAATCATACCCAAGGTTGGCTTTGTCAAAAAGAGTACATGGACCTAGCAGAGTGGAAATATGTTCAGAAAGTAAACACCAGATACCTATGATACGGTAGTCAATAGAATCAGCTACAGAGCGCTTCTCTTCATCCCCTACAGAAATTGCCTCTTCAAAACGGATTTTCTGGACAGCTTTCTCACACTCTTTCAATTTCCTAGTAGCATCTGGATCATTAGGGCTGATTCTTTTCACCTAGAAAGAAAAGTAGACTTATTAATGTACCACATGAAACAAAATAATGTGGTTCCTGCTATCCCTAGATGGTCACCAACATTAATATAAAGCAGCACCAAGAAAAGCAAGAAAAGTGACTAGAAATAGTCATTCTCAATCACTCAATCTGGGAAGAGACCACAAAACTAGGAAAACAAACTGCGCACCTGTTGAAAATCCTTCAGAGCTTCCTTGAACTTACCCATGGCAAGATATGCCGCTCCACGTCGGTAGTAACCCTACAAACAAAAAAAGGGTAAAAGATAGGAACTTGCAAACCTGTGGCAGGAAGAAATGGCACCATCACTTACTTTTGAGTATCTAGCATCAATTTCAATTGCTTTTGAAGCATCTTGCACTGCACTTCCATATTCCTCTAACTTTGTATGAGCAAATGCACGGTTTGCCCAGTAAACTGCATTTGAACTGTTTAGCTCAATGGCTTGACTATAGAGCTCTATAGCCAGGGAGAACTTGTTTGCTGCAGAAAATAAATAGAAAGATTATCCACCAGGGAAATATTCCTTTAGAAAACTTTGGGAAATGCTGCATACAGCATGAGAGCCCGAATCTTTTATTTTGTGAGGGCAATATCAATAGCCTGCTACCACTCAGATGGATATAAAATATAACACATTAGAGTACATAAACAGATACTCCCTCCCGTTACATAATTCTTGATGTTTTGGACAACTGACATGGTCTCCAAAACATATCTTTCACTATGATTTTCTATTAAAATATATACAAAAAATATGTAAACAATTAATTTTATTGAAGTACTGTTTAAGAATAATCTATGCATCATGTTCTAGTGTCTTCAAACCAAATATTTTTCACGTTATTGATAGTCAAAGTTCTAACTGTTTGACCTCAACCTTGTCCAAAAGTCATAATTATGGAACCGGAGGGAGTAGATATAATACTAAAAGCCTTATTGATCAACAACTATTACAATTTCATGTTGATTGGTATTCTAAATAAGTGTTATTAGCATGTAACTCACTTATGTCAACATTTGAAACTCTGAATTACAACTCAAAAACACATGCAGTTCTGACATAATAAAGGATGAGGACATGAAGTGGATCAAATCCTAACATACCTTTAAAGGCATCATTTGCTTTAAGCTTGAGTTCTTCAGACTTTTGCTCATTTAAACTGGAGTTGGCATCCATGATAGTTTCCCTTGAGCTTTCTCCAGTAAATGCTACTTCATACACAGAATTTCAAGTCCTGTACCAATAGAATACATTTGCAGCAAAAAATAAATTACCAGATATAATTAAAAAATGCAGGAGTATTACGGCTACGGACAACATTAAGTAGAAACAATGCCCCAGCATATTGGGTAGAAAAATCATGCATATTTCACACCAAGAGGCATCCATGTATTAGAAACAATTAGCCTGGAGTGTGGATCATAAAGCACGTGAGCAAAAGGTAGAGGGGCTTTTTAGAAACATTGGCTGCGGCTGCGGCTGCAGTTGTGCTGTAGCCGTCTAACTCGCCCAAGCATGGCTGTCTTTAAGGCAGCTGATGGCTGGTTGCTCCAGCGCAGCTGCACTGCAGCCAGCACTGCCAAACAGCTCCAGAGAAGGGAGGCTGCATATGGTTTATTTCCATTTCAAGCCATACCTAAATTTGGTAACATTAACGGAATTGGCCATACTTCGTGACTTGTAGCCTATATAGCCTATACTTTAGCAGAAAATATGCCCAAGGTTTAACATCGCTAGATTTTGGTAAGGCTCGTTTGGACAACAAACCAGACATGCCCTAAAAACTACAAGGAATCAGAATTGCCAGGAACCAAAGTTAAAAAGTAACAGAGTAATCATTCTTATAGAGATACGAATACAGGATGGGCAGTGATTTCCTGCCAAACCAAGGTTTGGACAAGGCCCTGCAGACCATAGAGCTGATCCAACAAAACTCTGCATTTCTGCAGATACGGATACATTTTGCATATTGGAGATCTCTTCCCCCAATAACCAACAAATCACAGGCTCATATAAGGCTGTGTTCTTCACTCAACTTTCCCAAACTCAACCCTTTCGCTTCCCAAACTGCTACACGATTTAATTTTTAGAAAGTTTCTATAGGAAAGTTGCTTTAAAAAATCATATTAATCCATTTTTTAAAGAAAAACTAATACTTAATTAATCATGCACTAATGAGTCGTTCTGTTCTAAGTGCACGAGGGATTAGTTCCCAGTTCCCACCTCCAACTACCAAACACAGCCTAAGCCTATCTGAATACTCACATCTCACCTGAGCTTGGTCGGAGTTCATTAGACATAATCAAGAACAAAGCATGCCCATTTCACATGATCACCAACTGTTCCATTTTCTAATTCTCCCACATTTTAGATTTAAATTAATATAATGCTAAATTCAGAATCCATTCTAATGTATCTTCCGTTGTTTTCACAATTTATTTAATATTTTGGAATTAAAAGGTATCTAATTGTATTTGTGTTGGAGTTTTAGTTTAGCATGTTTCATGGATTAATAATTCTAAAATCTGGAATCGATAGATATTGAGTTTTACTCAGTTTGGAGCTCTATAATTAGTTCTTTTTCACAGTTTAATAATTCCAAAATTCAGAATTATTAAGGAGTAGATTACATATGATATATGGACTCTCTTTTTAAAATGAGGTGGACTCTTATTTTATCTAAATGATTTGTATAATACAAACTCTTAGTATGACATATGGCCACGTATTACAATCCACCTAATCAACGGCCAGATCTTTCTAGTTAATGTTGTCCCTCAAAGAGCCCTTTAGAATAGGTAAATATATACCATTATGAAGTTACCAATTTTGAAAAATGCCATTATGAAGTTGTGCCTTAGAATCATGCCATTGCAATATGAACTCATGGTTCAAGAAGGCAGCTAGTCGGGCAGCTAGGTGGCACCTAGCGCCTAGGTCAACCCAACTAGTCAAACCCAAGAAATTAGCAAGCATATTACATAAAAACTAGACTATATAACACTAGAATAGCGACAAAACATCACCCGAGGTAGTTCAGCCGCCTAATGCCTAATAGAGCCAGCTAGCCGGTGCCACTCCACCTATCCCGTCGAGGTCAAGGTCGGCATCCATCTCCGTCTCGCCTCCTACCCAGCTCTAGCCCTGTCTGGCCATGCTCAGAGGACACCGAACAGCAGAGGTCCACCCCCTGCGAGCTGAGGCCGCCAGCCACAACCAGTGATTTTCCTTCACCAATCTTGTCACTGGAGCTTGTCATATGGCCATTCTCCGTCAATATGTCGGTGGTAGATGAGATGGAAGCAATGGAATTAGGTGCAGGAATGAGGAAGATAAGAAAAAGGGAAACATGGTCTAAATATCTCCACATTGGCATATTTCAGAAGATGGGAACTTGGTGTGGTATGTAAGGCAGAGTAAACTTTACAATTGCAAGTTTCAAAACCTTTTACTCCTCAATGGCACATATCAAATAGTTTACCCCCTAAACATAATTTTGATACTATGGTTGTTACTGTTGATTGAATAGCATACCCAAATTAAGCACGAAACAAGCATTTGCAATAAGAAATCTTAGCAGCAGAAACAAAATCGTCCATACACATACTGACACACCCTTATCATCAGGAGCAGCCATGGACACTTGACAATCTGTGACAGTTCACTCAATACTGTGACAGTGCAGCCCAGAATTTGATTTTTCTTAGAAAACCAACAAATCCAAGAGTTGAAAACTGACTCGCGCAACCGCTGGTCAAACATGCAGCAAAAAGGAGGGCAGGGAAACCGAAACATTACGTGCAGCCTGGAGGGAGAAGGGAGCCGAGGCAGCGTCGTGGCGCGGCCCGAACCAACGAAGCGCGGGGTGGCCCGCCGGCGATGGAGGGCGGGGTGGCCCACCGCGCGGCGGCGGAAGCGCAGGGGGCGAGGGTGGCGGCGTGGAGGAGACGGCGGAGGAGTCGGTGGAGGGGAGGGAATCGTCGGCTGCAAAGGGGGATACAACCGGAACACCACCAATCTAGGGTTGCCAACTGGGCCGGTGGATATTTTGCGTGGCCTATGGGAATAAGTTCACCTGACGTCCCTTGATTGTACGTCGAGTCTGTCGGAGGTCACCTAACCGCAATACCAGAAATGAGTGCCCCTGAACTATGTAAAAACATCCAACACCAAAGGTACCAGATGCCTGGTTTCGCTGACGTGACATCGTAGGTTGTAAAATAAAATAAAATAAATATGTGAGGCACACATGTAATTGAGAGAAAATGGTGTGGGCCCCACATCTCTTCTTTCTTTTCTTTTTCTCTTCTCTGCTCTCCTCTCAAGCGGGCACGCAGCGGCAATTGGGGGAGAGGCGGCCGGCGGTGGCGGGGGGGGGGGGGGCGCTAGTCGATGAGCATGAGCAACACAGCGCCTGGGTGTGACCAATCCGGGGGCGTGGTCTCGTTGGCCACGGCGAGTAGCTGCCACCCAGGGACAGCGGGCAGCGGGTGGTGGGGTGCCACGGTGAAGATGATCCACCAGAAAGGGAGGCGCAACGCCAGGAGCGGCGATGATTGGTCCTCATCGGAGTCAATGGCCGGCAAGCGCGAGCCTCGCGGCGGTGCAACCCGCGAGGTTTGTTTCACCGACGATGAGGCCCGGGAGGTGACCGAGAGAGGAAATTTTCCCATTTTGGCTCAATCATCTTCTCTCTCTCTCCTGCTGTCTCGTTGGCCACCTCTCTCCCCCTCTCCTACTGTCGCTGCCCCCAGATTTCTGGCCCCATACAGGTGAATAGGCTGGAATCTAGGTGCCGTTGCTAATGTACTCTAATGGGAAGCCCTTCCAAGCTGCGACGACGATGATGTCCACGCAGCGCCGGCGGCACACCACCACCAGCACACCAAGCTACGGCGGGGGCGGGCTCGAACATGGCGACGACGTGTGCATGGTTGGAGTAGCCGCCACCGAGAGTTGGAGCAGCGGGAGGCAGGGCGCTGCTACCTTTTTTTCTTCTTGCTTACATGTGGGCCCCATAACTTTTAATTATTTTTTGCTGACTATGATGCCACGTCAACGAAACTACTCATATATTGCCATGGGACCTAATTTGCACGGTTTTGTATAGTTTAGAGGTGAAGATTTCTGGCATTGCAGATTAGGGACCTCAGACAGACTCGACTTAAAGTTGAGGGACGTCAGGTGAACTTATTCCACGGCTTGTTTGGGAAACCCTAAGGCTTTTAAGAGTCTGTAAAATTTGGATTCTCGGCTTTTGGTTTCTCTTTTATTTTCTAGATTCTACAACGTAGTTTCTTATTTGACTCCTTTCTTTTCTTCAACTCCAACCTTCAACTTTCTCGTTTTTCATTAGCACACTTTTCAAACTGTTAAATGTTTTTTTAAAAAAAATACATAAGTTGTTTTTGAAAAGCAAATAAATCCATTTTTCAAGTTTTTAATAGTTAATATTTAATTAAATATGTGCTGATGAGCTTTTTCGTTTCGCGTGTTTAGAGGAGCTTATGATCCTAGGAGAAGCTCCTTAAACAGGTCCTTTAGATAGGCACAACGCTTTTCTATCCAACTAAGGTGATAACGGGTCTTCTTTGTTGATCTGAGGCCCTATTTTATAAGTTTAAGATTCCAAAAAAGAGATGATTGGTAACCAGTACGGCATCCTAAACTCAAATTTAAAAAGCAAAGTTATACCAATAGGAGTACCTTCACACCATATTGTTTCTTCACTTGGAGGGTTACCAACGTCAAGGTCATTTGATCATCGGGAAGATCTCATCTTCTTGATCTTTGACATTTCGTCTTCCATTTCTCAAATGATTAATGCGGATAATCCATGGCTTCAAATGCCCTCGCACGGTTCATCATGACACAGTCTTCACTCGCCCTTCACCACCGGTTTCGGTTCGTCGGCGCCAAGCCCCTTGCTTGCCCTTCACCACCGCATTGTTCATCGCAGCTGAGCGTCGCTTGCGCTTCACCGTCTTGCCATAGGTAGTCACTTCATACCCGCATCTTCAATATCTTCTCTTTAATTATCATCCATCGATAAGTCCATTTCCTAGCTTCTTCATCGGACTAATCACTTGCTTATACACTCAATAAGTGCATTAGACCCTTAATCGTTTGTCATCAATAAACCAAAACCCACTACAGGCATAGATGCTCTTTCAATCTCCCCTTTTTGGTGATTGATGACAACACGATTAAAGCTTACAAAAGATTGATAAAAAATGATTTTGCATCCAAAGGTTAGTTTGAGCTCCCCTAAATGTGTGCATACAAGTTTATGAAGTGAGCACATATGCACATATTTTTGAAAATGAGAGAGCTCCCCCTAACTCTTTGCATCCGTGGGGTGTATTGTGTGTGAACGAGATACCAAAAGTAAAACAACATACACAACTCAAATTCTTGGCACCAATTCAAAATGTATCAAATGAAATTCTCGATGCCAATTGCAAAAACTTGATTCTATGCCAACTGATTCCGGTTCCGATTGAGAAAGCATGAGTAATCAAGTTCAAGTATCAAAAGAAAATCTCAATTGCATGTGGCATGGAGATCAAATAATAAGCATTCACGCCAATTGATAAACACTTACAAATATTCTCTCCGCCTTTCTCATTTACTCTTGGACATCTTTAAAGCATGCATTTCGATGATTTCTCACAAATATCTCACCCTTTGATCAATCTTTTCTTTATCCCCTATAGAATATTTCTCCCCCTTTGACATCAAACACCAAAAGGGGCATAAGTAGGGAAAGAAAAGCAAAGGGATCCTTGATGAGGGATCATCGAGTACTTACCTCTCAATTTTATATTTCATCACTTGTGATTAGGAAATGAAGATCAATTTCACATAAAGATCACAAGTAAATCAATAAGCATTGAGAAACAAATTTTGAGCATAGAAAGCTCACATGCAAAGGATGTAAAGCATAGAAGAAAAAAAAAATCTCACCTAAGATTTTCACAAAACATTTCACAAAAGAGTTTCGCATGTATGAATCTCATAGTTTGTGCTAAGACCAAAAATTCATAGAGAATGAGGTCTCCGAGCACATTGATTCACTTAGAACAACTTTGTGACTAATACTCGCTTATTGACTAAATAAGTATGTCGTCACAACATTTTGCAAATTAGGCTAATTAGCAAGGAATGAAACTTGGCCTAGATGCACAGACAAGGCAAGTGATCCAATCATACCAATTTAAATAACAAGCTATGGATCGTCGAGTTACCTTCCATGTTGATTTTTGAGATGCCCATTCAATAAAATTGATATCTTGAACCCAATTTGAAATTGGCACCTTGATGGGTTTGATGAAATCTCTTCCTTGATTTGCTTGATTCCAATCCCGAGAAAGAACTTAAGCTTTCCCATCACGAACATGTTTAACTCCTTGATCACAGTCTGCGTCCTGATAATGCTTGTGCTCTTCTTGTAAGGCCATGACCCGATCCGGTTTAGCATTTGCACCATCTTCCTTCTAGCTAATAGTCCAAAGACAACAAGAGAGAGTAACATTCACAAATTTTGTAAATTGAGAATGAATAGTTACTCCCTTTTTGTAATGTCATTGAGGATGTTGTAGGGAAGATCTCGTTGAATGATGTGGTGAATTCTTGGATGGTACACCGATGGGACTTGAGCTTGCATGGTGTAACTTGCTCTTGAGTGCTCTTGGCATCAATCCCATCCACTTGTACCGAAAGTATGTTCTTCATAGTCAATTGCGGCAGGTTGAATTGAGTTGATTGAGGTTGATCAAGTAGTCCACCTTGGTCATCATGGGCTTCTTGTGGTCTCACCTACCCAAGTGTCTTCGAAGATGTTTTTAACCTCCTATGAGACTAATCACAAAAATACACTTGATAACAAGTTAGTCTCAAAAACACAAAACATAGGGTATACTCCCCCTAAAAGTGTGCATCCAAGTTCTTGAATTACTTGTAGAAATGCACTTGTTTGATGAAAACAAATGGGGAGTATAGCCTATATTTTGGAGAAAGGCACATAAAGTATTCTCAAGAAAACACTTGTGCCAAAACATAACACACATCATAAAATGAGCATGTAGATTATCGGAAGATATTGAATCAAAGCATGACAATCAACCATAAAAAAAACTATTTGGGTTACCCGTGATTCTTGCACGGAAGGATAACCTTTAAGTATGCATGTTCTTGTGAGCTTGGAGCCTTCGGCCTAGATCCTTCGGGTAACCAAGGAATCTTCCTGGAGTCTCCGAGGTATCCACCCAGAGCCTTCGGGCTCGATGGCATGGTGATAGATGAGCTTGATTACAAATCGAGCGGTCTTATCAAAGCCTTTGATTCCACAATAAAATCTGCAATAAACCTTGTAGATAGGTCATAGAACATTGCATATTTTTCATTTTGGGAGTTTTACCCAATTCTCAAACAAATAGAAGCCACAAAAATCACAAAAATTTAGAAAACTGAAAGTTTCAGGATTTTCAGAATTTGGAACTCAAAAAGAGCTTGAAAAGGGCATCATAACAATATTCAAACGACTATAGAAAAATCCAAGTAAATTTAGATGTGAAGTCCAACCATAGAGGAACAAAAGTCATTATATATACTCATTCCAGTTTGCAACCTATTTTGAGATATAAAAATCACAAATCAGTCAAAAACCATGAATTTTCTAAAAATTTCAGCAACTTGAGCAAGGTGAGAAAAAGTCAAATTCTTTCCAAATTAAATCGGAATGATGCGAAACCTTGCAGAAATGATCT